GAAAATTTTTTGGCGGGACAGATTTATACGGGAAGATTTTACAAGGTTTTTTTAAGGTTTTTACAAGTGTTTTGGCGGGAACATTGCGGGATCACTTTTCCCGCCAAAAAATATTTTGTATTTTGTGGACCTAATTTTGTTTCAAATAAGGGTAAAATGGTCATTAAAAATTAAAAGAGGGCAAACTTAAAAATGGACTCTCAAAGGGGGCATTTTTGAAAAGGGGTATTGAAAAAGGGGCATTTTTAACAATTTCTCATTTTTTAATGTGCTAATAAGTTTTAGTATGAAAGTAAAATTTAAATGCATGATAGTGTAAAAAAAGAGGTTTACAACAAAAAAAAAAGGTAGTGTAAAAATTATGTTTCTAAAACTATAAAGAAAAAAATAAAATTGAAATTAAAACATTAATTTGTAAGAGCAATATACTACAAAGAGTTTTTACTTATTATTAAATGTTTAATTAAGAAAATTATGCAAAAATAAAAAATAAAATATTTATTTTTCAAATGAAATACAACATAGATATTAGAGAAATTGTTAAAAATGCCCCTTTTTTAATACCCCTTTTCAAAAATGCCCCTTTTGAGAGTCCATTTTTAAGTTTGCCCTCTTTTAATTTTTAATGACCATTTTACCCTTATTTGAAACAAAATTAGGTCCACAAAATACAAAATATTTTTTGGCGGGAAAAGTGATCCCGCAATTTTCCCGCCAAAACACTTGTAAAAACCTTTAAAATATCTTGTAAAATTTTCCCGTAAAAATTTTTCCCGCCAAAAAATTTTCCCGCCAAAATTTTTTTTTTGCGGGAAAAGTGATTCCGCAATTTTTTTGCCGAAATTTTTTTGGCGGGAAAATTTTTGGCGGGAAAAATTTACAAGGTATTTTAAAGGTTTTACGGAGTATTTCCAAGTGTTTTGTAAGGTTTTACAATGTATTTTAAAAGGTTTTACAAGGTACTTTAAGGTTTTATTAGGAATTGATAACTTGCAAGACCTTATAAAAAACTTGTAAAACCTTATAACTTGTAAAACCTTATAAAATAGCTTGTAAAGTCTTATAATATCTTATAAATACTTTATAAATACGTTGTAAAACCTTTTAAAATACATTGTAAAACCTTATAAATACCCTGTAAAAACCCTTTAAAATACTTTGTAAATTTTTCCCGCCAAAAATTTTCCCGCCAAAAATTTAACGCCAAAAAATTTGCGGTATCACTTTTCCCGCAAAAAAAAATTTTTGGCGGGAAAATTTTTTGGCTTGAAAAAATTTTACGGGAAAATTTTACAAGGTATTTTAAAAGTTTTTTACAAGTGTTTTGGCGGGAAAATTGCGGGATCACTTTTCCCGCCAAAAAATATTTTGTATTTTGTGGACATAATTTTGTTATATTTCCTTATATATTTATGATATCTTTTATTAAAAGAAGGGTAATTTAGTCATTTTGTACATAAAAGGGGTATTTTTAAAAATGGACATCCAAATGGGGCATTTTTGAAAATGGGTATTGAAAAAGGGGCATTTTTGTGAGTCTCCCTAGATATTAATCAAATTTTTAATATTTAGAGTTATCTTCAACTGTTATGATTATAAATATTTAATCTTTATACAAATATAATATATTACTAAACCAACGCGTGGGTCATTTTATAGTATAATTAATTAAAGAGACTTTGTGTACGAGAAATTGATTGATAAGTGTTATTGCGAGATGTCATTATTAACCCTACGAAAATGTTAATGAAGGTGCCCCATGTTCTCCTATGCTCACGGGCTCGTGCTCGTTTGTCTATTTGCCCTTTTACGTCCAATTGCTTTTTTCAAAACTCTTGAACACAATGGGGGGCAAATTAAAGTGGAGGGTAAGTTATAAGTAATTAGGTATTTGTCTCCATTATTAAACCTTACTTTTTGAATTTAAACCCTGGTTTTGTATGAATATCCGTTATTCCATCGTTTGAATATAATAAGTCTCTAAAATTTTCTTAATAAAGACAAAAAGTAAAATATGATTTGAGTTAGAGATCCGAAGCGGGTCAAGCTTAAAATTAAGCTCCATTCATTTAGTCCATAGATATACTCCACTTAATCGACATAATAGAAGATTAACACCACATGATATAATCAATAATTATGATGATCTTGAAACCTGTAGGAAGTCTTTAGCAGGGCCGGCGCAGAGGGCAAGCCACCGAAGCCACCGATTAGGGCCTCAAAATTTGAAAGCTTTTTTACCTAAAAATTTGTTAAGTTTTCTTATATACAATAATTTTTGTAGGACCTTTTAAAAATATTGTGGGCTTTTAAAGACAACTACAATATTCTTTTTACTGGTAAAAATCTAATTTAAAAGAATTTTTTTTTATGGACTTTAATTTTGCTTAGGGCATCCAAATTTACCGGGCTGGCACTGGTCTTTAGACTAATTGTTTACACATTTAAATTGATTGATTAGCCTAGTTACTGATGTCTGACATCACCAACCTCTTTGATCGTCTTAGTTAAAGACTACTTCAACTCATGTTTCTTCTGTCAGTTCGATATATTCCCACCAAGGCACTAACATATATGTATATTTGCATGATTATTATATTAGTGTTTATTCATTGAACGGACTACAATTAGCCTCCATCAACATTCGGGTCACACAAAACACCGCTAAAATCACATACAAAATTCAGCTACAATAAAATAAAATTTTAATAAATAAATAAGTAATGTAGTCATTGGATTCCAATAGTGTGTCACATTATAAAAACTACAGTTTATTAACACTTTATAAATAGACAACTTCGCTTATCATGAGTGCTCCACTTACGTATCAAAAGCTCTTCAGATGCACCGTGCACCATCACCTCTCTAAACTTTCCGCAATTAATTACCATTACTTATATCAATTGAATACTATTGTAATTAGATAGCTAATTAAAGTAAATATATTTCGTATGTTATAAGGACGTTCCAGATTAAACGAACCACTAAAGAACAAACCACAAAAAAGGTCTATTGATAACGACTTTAATGCGTATCGCGTCAATTGTGAAAATTTTCTATTTCCTAAAGTCGCTGCTGATGTGATTATTAACCGTACATTTAAAGTGGGAAAAGGTACACTTACACATTTGTGCCCAACATAAAACGCATTTTAAATTCTTTCGTTTTTTCTTTCTTTTGACTTTCGTATTCGTTTTCACACAATAAAATACCACTCTTATATTTATCATTTCATTTTCGTAAACTACTTTTTTATCATTACGGATGCAAATAGATAGCCTTCTAAGTCAAAAAAAAAAGAAAGAAAAAAAAACATTAGCTAGGTGAGGTAGCATTTGACGATTTGTCTCTTTCAACAATATATTAATAATATTATGTGAATTTAAATCTATATAGTGACACATCGACAATAAAACAACCTTTTAAGCTATATGTTTTTTTTTTTTTTTTTAAGCTATATGTTATGGTTGATTATCATTTGCGACTGGCGATTATCTTATATGAAA